ATTCAATGTCGGCTACATTATATTGCATCTGCAGCAGCATTGTGAACTTCATTATATTCAAATTGCAAACACATGAGGAGAGTCTCCACATGAAAGACCCACGACTGGCAGATGAACGTGCTACTTCATTTCTCTCCGAAACGGTAAGAAATTAAATTAGATTGAATGGAGGATTTTAACTGTGACAAGATGATTGACAGGGCAGTTTACGGTGACAGGATGCACGCGACAGAGCTGTCCGTTAAAGATGACGAAGTAGTATGTCCCAAAGCTTGCCTACTCTTTTGCTACACACTCAAAAGTATGTACTTTTTCTTCACAAAAAGAGTACTTTTAGGGCGTAGTATAGACCTTATGTAGCCACGCCCCTTTTCCGCGCTGAGCTCATTGTCTTTTGACTTCCGGTCTGTATTTTCACAGCGATCTTGCCTAGTTATGAATGAACGGCTCGTTAAAAAAAATTCCCAAGGTCCATTTGTTAAGATATGCTTTACAATGCTTATCATAAACATTACAATGCTCATGATACCTTTCGTTAACTCTACAATAAGTAAATCAACTTCAGCTAATTCCTGGACAGCGATGCCATAGAAATATACAGAGCAACCGCAAAAACGGAAGTTCAAAGACAATTTTCTAAAGATGGCGGCGCCCTCGTTTCTCTGGTGCATAAGGTCTATAAGTAGGCGAATTGAGACGCAGCCAGAAATTAATGACTTAAGACACACCCGAACACAATGAACTCATAAACCAATAAGAACATGACACATGAACCAAGGGAACCAATCAGAACATTACACATGAGACTAGGGAAGCACATGAAAGGATCACAAGATGGGGTCAAGGAAATCACATGACAATGGGAAAACTTCAAAATAAAATACATGAAAACATAGACATGAATAAAAAAAAAAAGTATTTTTAACATTATTTTCTGATTTCTGGAGTGATAATAACAGAATAATAAAAGAATATCCAAAATCCCTTCTGTAAAAACTCTGATAATAAAAATGAAACAAGAATTTTGAACCTGGCTTTAAAATGTTCGGATTTCTGTTCTGGAAATAAATGCAAATTAGCATGTATGGGTTAGATAATTAGACAATGCCTCAAACTGGGTGCCGGTAAGATGGCAGTACAGACATACCTGCTTGGCAAGGTACGTCGTGCATCTTCGGAAAGCGGAGCCGCACGCAAAGTTACAAAAAATGCCTTGCACACCGCCACGTGTGCACTCGACGGGCACGACTATGGAAGCTTGTTTCAGCCACTGAATTGTGAATTATAAAGTCAGAATTGCTAGATAAACATTTGCAATTGCAAAAAAAAAAGAGTCTGAATTGCGAAATGTAAACTCGCTGTTGTGAGAAAAAAGTCAGAATTGTGAGATAAAAAGTCACAATTATTTTTAAATTGTTTATTTGACGCCATGACGTCATTTTTTTCCAGCGCACCTTTGTGCTCGTGCAGACCATAGACTGTAAAAAAAAGGTGCAGACACGGCGAGTATAAACCATAGACTGTAAAAAAAAAAGTGTCATTTTAAATGTATGCCGGAAGTATTTTTTAATTAAGAATTTAAAAAGAAAAGTATAAAAAAATTATTTTTTAAAATATAAAGTTATTAAAATATAAAGTATAATATAATAAATATTAGTAGCCTATATTATTAATAAAATAAGTACAATATAATTATAATAAATATAAGCATACTAAATAAAAATGTGTTATTTAAAAAACAAGTTGAAATAATGCAATGACTTTTAAAAAAACGCATAGACCTCGGATAGTTACAGTAGGTCTACTTACAGTAGGTCTGTCTTTTTTAACCGTTAAAACAAAAATCACTATAGAGAAAATGAAATACTATGAAAATAGATTAATTTTGTGAGTTTTGTATCAAATTATGTGATTTTCGTTGATTGAGATCTGACTGGCTGCAACAGCACATTTCCGCTTGGGCGAGCGATTCACATCTGCCATTCGCGGACAGTTTCCTGCGCATGAAATACCCGTATGCCAGCAAACCAATGAGAACGCGGGACGATGATGACGATGCATAACAACAGAGCGTGGGCGCCAAAGCTGTTGTGTGGATCCGCTTACCATCGTTTGGCAAAAGATGACTGACAGTTACATACGTATTACCAAAATTCTATCACGTAAGCTATATGGTACACCTCAAAAGAGGGAATTTATAGTGTTAATACCAAGACGAGAGTCCACGAATGGCTTGGGTATGCGGAGCATTCGCAGTTAATATGGACCGCACGCCCCGAGATCATGCCCGAGATCCATTCAAACGCACTTCGACTCCTGCCTCAGGACCGTATGTTGCACATAAATTGCATTAAAAAAACGCCATAAATTACATACGGAGAATACTGTCTCAGCCTTACTAAAGAGGAAAGTCTTGTTATCTAACAAGTTGTTAACTACACTTGCCAGTTCACAACTGAATGATGATGCTTTATTAATAAGGTTAAGTAGCCCATGCATCGAGAAATTGGCATTTATGACTAAAACATACACAATTTTTCTGCAATTGTAAGGCTGCGTATGCGCAATGTCGGTGCGATCTTATAACTATAGGCTATAAACAGGTACTGCACTATCTCATTGCTGTAGTCTAAAAACAACTGCGTATACTACATCAGACAGCTATTGTCTTGTAACGTTATCCGTATCCAGTTGCAATATGTTTTCTGTGCTCATCTACGTTACAGCATTACATTTATTTTACTTACGGACACACTGTACTAAACATTATACTGAATGAATATACTCTGATTCTCGTTCTGCCCTATACAGAATTTTTCCATGAAGTCGTTAAATTAAGCATTTAATATAGCAATACTGTTACGTTGCGTATATGGACAACAATATAAAGTATCTCTTATCTCAAAATGTATTGTTTTAAAACTTGATATGTCACGATGTGAGAACAAACTTACCTTCAAAGTCGAGCGACAAATAACGGCTTTTGCTGGATTTATATATCGACGACACAGTATTTTTAATTTTACTCACATTCAGTGGTTCCCCAAAAACAGTTATGGCCTTTAATGGACGAAGATGACATTTATGTTAGGCTATAGACTGCACCTGTCACAGACAACGCAGTTCGCATTTTCAGCGCGTCTCCTTTTAAAGGCAGGATTTACTGGAATATTCCACCGGAAATGACATCGAAATAGTTCTAGTACTTTCTCTACGCACATCAAAATAAAAAAAATAAAAAAACACGTAGTTCGGCATCAACTGTACCTAGTCTGGTCGAGCGGGGAGAATAGGTTGCAGAAGAGAGGAGGGGGGAAAGAGCCAATGCAGACACTTTAGTGTTCCTGCACACATGATAGCCAATAGAAGTCATATTCACATACATTTTGTAATATTTTTTATTATAAAATATTATTTTAATGTGTGCAATTTAATTTATATCACTGTATGCTGTCCTATATTCTCCTTACAATAAAACAAGTTATTCTCAGTTAAAGGGCTATAGTTCACCCAAAAATGAAAATTGTCATCATTTAGCCTATAACCTCAAGTTGTTCCAAACCTGGATGATTTTATTCATCTGCTGAACACAAAAGAAGATATTTTGAAGAATATGGGTAACCAAACAGTTGATTGGCCCCATTGACATAGTATTTTTTCCCCCATACTATGGAAGTAAATGGGGACCATCAATTGTTTGGTTACCCATATTCTTCAAAATTTCTTCTGTTTAACAGAAGAAAAAAATTCATACAGGTTTGTAACATCTTGAGGGTGAGTAAATGGTGACAGAATTTTCATTTTTGGGTGAACTATCCCTTTAACTTTGCATTATAGTAACCTACAGTAGTATTTATGACACTGTCACTGTAAAAATGGATTCATTACGTTATCCTCCCGAGACCCAGAAAAAAGTTTGGAATTTAGCATTATTTCATGTCATTATATTGTTCAGCGCATAAACAAATTAAAATATATATATATTTTTTTGTTAAAAATATATATTTTTTTTCACATGCTATGTCCATTGTATGGACACCAGGCAGGACTCAGTTTTTTAAAAAAGACATGTATAAGCAAAAGCAATGATTTTCAATTCAATCAATTTTTAGGATTCAGGATTTCTTTTAACCAAACTTTGTATAAACATGCTCCTCAACTATGTTATACAAGGTATTAATGTGTTCAGGCAAAATGTAATGAATAATGTGTAGTAATCGGTAACATTTTCATATCTAATATTTCATAGGGAATATATAATATATGATTTCCCTAATCACTCGTTTCTCCCAAACTGCCTGATAAATATGATTCAAGTCCTGATGTGGACATGAAATCAGTGCCCTGTTTTGTAACAGTCATATTTTGATTAGAAACCCCATAACATTTTCCTTAAATGTTATTCATGACAAATAATTAGAAAATTAGTTAACTAAAATTAAATGATAGTTACAAAATATATTTCCATAAGAGTGCTACATTTAATTAAAACTGACATTTAAGGGATCAGAGAAATTCAATAAAATATGTCCACTACAGTGGACAAAAGTCTATTCCTGGGTCCCAGGAGGTTATTACAACATACTAGATCACAAACTAAAAAAAAAAATATATATATATATATATATATATACACACACTACCACCTATAGTTCTCTTTTTGCCTAGTTAGAATACATTTGAAGAAAATTAACAACTTGGTGTCTAAATTTCATGATCAGCCAACTTTCACGCTTGCTGTTATTTATGAGGAAAAAGCAGCATGGTTGACTTGTTAATTTAACTAGAGGCCTATAATATAAATATTTAACTATATGACACGTATACAGGTATCATGGAAATAGAGTCTTGAATTGAAATGATCAATTTCCTCTAATGTTCTTAGCACTTCACCAATGGTACAATGATATGAGCTGAGGCGAGAAATGGCAATGCAATCAAATGTTTATTTTGTTTCTAATCTAAATTTAAATTAAATACTTAGTTTGACAGATATTAGCCTAAACTTCTAAGTTAGTCATGTTCGTGACATCCAATGGGAGGCTTGGGAGAACAGAGATATTGCAGAAACTTCGCAGACACGTGTAGCGGACCTTGTAGTCCTGACAGTTCCATCCACTCTGTGGCATATTCACACACTCAAAGCCCTGTAGTGGATCATATCTGCAGAATCAAAGTAGATGCCTATCAATCATAACAAAATTTCTATAATATTTTATTATAAAATTATATACTTACACTTGAAAGTTGCTTCCAGGCAGTACTGGGGTCCCACTAACGGTTGTGACCTCAATGGCGATGGGCTGAGCGCAGGCCTGTAGTGGGTATGCTATCAGGGTTAACGACAGCGTCTCAAAGTCTCCCACTCCTCCGGGATTATCTCGGTCAAACCAGGGTGTCCTACATTCTAATAGAGGATGACCAGTTGAGTGGATAGCTTTCATTCATGATCAACAAAAGATCAGTTCATTGAATTCTATTGTGTGTAAATGTCACTTACTTGAACACCATTCCTCTGGGCAGGTGAAGCGCACCTTATAATCGGCACAAAGCACTCCTCCTTGGTTTGCGTTTACACAAGAAAAGCCAGTTATCGGATTAAATCTTCAGAAAATACAAAAGAGCTTTAGAACATAAAAAAACATTTACACAGTTTCATTTCAGATCCTTTGATGGACTCACACTTGAAAAACATTTCCTGTTTGAGATGCTGGCAGGCCAGAGATGGTTTGAGCCTCTATTCCGAGTGGATTCGGACAAATGTACCCAGGATACAAACTGAGAAGGGTAGTCAAGAGTTCAGAATCCCCTCCATTTGTATTAGGATTGTCAGAATCAAACCACCTGGTTACACACTCTGATGAACAGAGAATAGTTATAGTAAATGGTAAATATGTACAAATGTGTGAACTGATACACACACAACCCCAAATCCAGAGGAGTTGGGACACACTCTGCAAAAAAAACTTTTCTTTACTGAGTTTTCTCTGAACAACTTAATGCTATTGCATTTTACAAGATGTCCCAACTTTTCTGGATTTGGGGTTGTGTGTATGTTATATACAGAGAGGCCATATACATGTATATATAAAATTATAGTAGATGAAGTTAAGATACATACTTGGAACACAAAAACTCGTTGGACATGTGAAACGGACCCTGTAGTCTTGACACCCTCCATTCTGTTGTGCATTCACACAAGCAAAGCCCTGTGTTGGATCATATCTGCAAAAACAGAATGCATCTGTTAACATTGAAAGACTTGCTTCTAGGACTGTGCTTTTTCTGAAGCACTCGCTCTTGCATATACAATTTAACAACCGGATTTATAGAAACTGCATTTTAAGATAATTGGCAGCAGCTACGCTGCCCTTTCCATTCCGTAGAAAAATAATTGGGCAACTGTATATGCAAGAGCAAGCGTTTCAGAAAATGCACAGTGCTACAAGCAAGTGCTACAACTGCGACCAAGTGTTAAATCTGTATTTCTCTGAATTTAAATGTGCATACAGGGCAATGAGCTTACATTCTCTTAAATTCAGCTCTAAAGACTTAAAGCAGTCGGAGTTACAGGGACTAGACTGATCAAGAGAATTGCAATAGATATTCAGTACATAAGTAGTGCAAAAATATTTGGTGGGATATAAGGCCATTGCGTCTACTGTAGATCTCACATTCAAAATACATCCATGTCATTGTTCTAATCTGAAAGAATTTTAGTATAGGGAATGATATTGTTGGTCGTACACTTGAAAACTATTTCCAGTCGGCAGTACTGGGGTCCCACTAACGGTTGTGACCTCAATGGCGATGGGCTGAGCGCAGGCCTGTAGTGGGTATGCTATCAGGGTTAACGACAGCGTCTCATAGTCTCCCACTCCTCCGGGATTATCTCGGTCAAACCAGGGTGTCCTACATTCTAATAGAGGATGACCAGTTGAGCCGATATCATTCATTCCCCAAAAAAGATAATATCATTGAATTCTATTGTAAAAATGAACAGCTCAGCGGCCGTTTTTGGGTGTAAATGTCACTTACTTGAACACCATTCCTCTGGGCAGGTGAAGCGCACCTTGTAATCGGCACAAAACCCTCCTCCTTGGTTTGCGTTTACACAAGAAAACCCAGTTGTTGGATTGTATCTTCAGAAAGACAGAATAATCTTTACATATATTGTAAAGCTTCAAGTAAGATCATTTGTTTCTTGAATTAAACCTTACACTTGAAAGACATTTCCTGTTTGAGATGCTGGTTGGCCTGAGATAGTCTGGGCCTCTATGCCGATTGGATCCGGGCATATTTCTCCAGGATACATACTGAGAAGGTCAGCCAACAGCTCATAATCTCCAGTTCCACCTGGGTTATCACGGTCAAACCACTTGCTTATACAACCTGATAAATACCAAACAGAAGAATTTGTTTTGATAAAAAAAGGGCAAAATAAAGTAGACCATGGTGAGACTTTCAGGATATCAATATGATAGGATATCAGATTATGCAGAAATTTCTTTTATCTTTTTTTCAAATAGGAAAATGACACCTACTCTGATTGGAGAGTGTGATAATTGTACCTGTAAGGAGAGATTTTTTATTTTTTTTCCTTATAGTAGTATCACTTTTAATTGGTTTTACCAATATCTTCCTTCATAAATCAAACTTACTTGTAGCCAGAAGCACCCAGGTTGCAAATACCTGGAAAAGAAAAATAATATTGAATGGATAATATATATAATATAATATAATGCAAAAGGAGTGGCATACCTTGCTGCTCATTCTTCTGACTTTTCAGTGGGGAATCTAATAGGAAAACTTAAAAAAAGCTAAAGAAAGACAAATCATTTCAGTGTCTGGAATGGTATTATTATAATAATGTTAGCAAGGTGCAGTCAGACAGAAGATTATAAGAAATAAAGTTCAAATGTAGATATTAATACTCATCCAACAGGTAATACATACTCGCAAACAGACCGGACAATCATTGAGTGAACGTGAGGAACTAAAATACACAAGGTGATGAACTAAATGACGAACAACTGTGATGATGATTAGTGTCCATAGAAACTGATGAGTAGCGGGAAACTCAAACAAAGGAACACATGTGACCATTACATGTGACACATGTGACCATTACATGTGACACATGTAATGAAAACCAAAAGTCCATGAAAACGAATAAAGGGGGCTTTCACACTGGCAGTTTAGTTCGGAACGGGGGCGGGGCACGGTTCGCGTGAAAAATCGCTAATGTGAACGCTGTCATGGGACCCGGGAGCGCACTGGGGTACCGAACCCGCGACTACCTGGAGGAGGTGGTCTACTCTGAGTTCGGTTGCTCCCGTGCCGGGGTTCGCGTGAATGTGAAAGCAGCACGGACTCGGGTGCGGACTTGTTCAGGAAGTAAAGTGACCTGCGCATGCGTTTTAGCTTATTGTGGTGTATTCAGTTAAATAAAACACTTGTAAGGGATGATAGTGTTGATGATTTACCTTGGATACGAGCGAGAGTGAGCCCTGCAGTGTATTCGTGCATTGCGCGTGAAATCAGGGCACCAAATTTGGAAATCCTCTGTCTCCTCAAAAGAGTCCGTTTGCAAGCAGCAGGGCCACCTTATGTGACACACGCACAGTAAACCTGTATTGTTCACTCAACTGCGTATAATAGCAGCGAATTAATAAAAAACACAATATTGACCCGCGTCCTGTTTTCTATCATGCGCCGTGCACGTTTGTGATGACGTAATATGCACGCAAACGCACCAGGGTTCGATAGAATCTAGTTAAGTGTGAAACCAGACCAACGCTGCGGGGGGCGCCGGGAACAAACGCGCTCGGGCCGCAGCAAACGAGCCCAGTGTAAAAGCCCTTTAGAATAAACAACTGAATAAGTGTGACAAATTATCATAATAATTAATGGCATTGCTAAAAGTCTAGATTTAAAAAAAAGCTTAATAAATTAATTGACATTGAATTCTTCTTATTCAGTTAGCATATTGAATACAACCACAAAAACACTCAAAAGGTTTAAGTAAAAAAAAAAGGGAGATAATTTAAAAATATATTCAGTATAAACTTACCCAGTTGTACTTGATGATTGTGCTAGTGAGAATAGCCTATATCTTGTGATATGCCACAATATTTGATCATCTATCACTTCACTGAGGTTCGATCATCTATCAAACCACTAAGGTTTGATCATCTATCACTTCCCTGAGATACTAACTGCAGGAGCAGTTAGTTAGTATCTACACAACATTATCTGTGCTCTCCTTTTCTCTGCTGAAATTCTTTCTCTTTTTAAGCAGGTGAGCTCCTCCCAGACCATCTTGCAGCAGCATCTCTGTTGTCAGCTTTGACCTAATTTCTCACCTCTCTTCATTCATCTCCAGCACTCCACCCTGCATCTCTGTCTCACCCCATCCATCTCACATGGCAAAAGCTGTCCGCAAGAATTGTCCAGTGGGTCCTGAACAGAGGTAATGTATAGTTTGGTCTAAGACTTAATCTTTTGTTCCTCACTTTAAAACAGGGAATGTGAGATTGTCAAAAGTGAAATTTTATCATGCATGCATTCGAAAGAGACAATACAGCAATTGTAATCCTTTACAATATACGTTACACAATAAACTACACAAAAAAGGGAAGCTTCAAGCTATTAATTTAACCTCATTGCAGAATGTGAAGAAAATAATTCCGAAAATGAAAATTGCTTCACAATCTTCACAATTTTATGGGTTTCTTGAAATGCACAGTGACGATTCCACTTCCTGAACCTCACAAAAGATGAACATGAATATGTAGATTATGCACTCTTTAACTCATTACACAACAAAGCAGATGTTTTCTTATAATCAAGACATTCTTTATATGGCTTTAGAAGACGGAATACTGCTTCACCAACACATAGAGATTCTTTCACCTAGATAGCATTACATGGAGACTGTGTCTGTTCTCCCAAATTAGTAAATACAAAAAACTCCCAAAACCATTTAAGGGTAAAAGTTTAATTGTTGTTCAACAAATAAATAACAGATATAATACAGATAAACTATTTATAAAGCTCAGGTTGCTGAATATCCAATCGCTTTCTTCAAAAGCACTTTTTGTTAATGATCTGATTACAGATCATAACCTAGATGTGCTGTATTTGACAGAAAACTGGCTAAAACCAGACGATTACATTACTTTAAATGAATCCACCCACCAAGATTATTGTTAAAAACATGAGCCTCGTCTGAAAGGCTAAGGGGGAGGTGTTGCTGTAATTTATATATATCTTCAGTATTACATGTAAGTCTAGTTTCAAATATAATTCTTTTGAAGTGTTGGTGCTTAATGTAACACTATCTAGTAAATAATGATAAATCCCGTTTGACATTTGTGCTGGCTACTGTATACAGGCCAAGAAAAATCCTTGTTGAGGCCTGGGGCTCGTTTTTCTTACGTTGCTTAAAACATCCGAGATCAAATGAGACATCCAAGATGATATCATCGTGCTAATCATGATCCGGCTAATTGGGTTCTTCGAACACACCTGTTGTTTATGATTAGTATCGCTGGATTGAGTTATCTGAGATAATTGCGCGTTCATGCGCTGGGTTAAAAGGGGATATGTATCGATAGTAGAAACATTGATCAGCAACGCTGCTATTGGCTGCTCACCGTGGCCAAAGAGCGCGCTCAGTTTTTTTCTCCACAGAAGAGCAAGAGTTATTGCTTGAAGGATATGCAGAATTTGAAAACTTAATTAAAACGCCAGGGAACACCTCAAAGTGTGCAAAAGCCAAGAGAGAGGGCTGGCAAAACGTAGCAGACAAATTAAGTTTGTAGTTAGATGTTTTTATCACTTATTACAGTATATATTTTTATATTTTAATAATTTCTAAATAATTAATAACTTTGTTCATTGTAATGTCAGAGTCACCACCCACTACTAGAACATGGGAACAAGTAAAAGTGAAGTACTAGAATATTCTACATAATAGTAATTTGTAGCCTACTAACTAATCCCTTTAAAAAGGCACTGTTAATAAATGTTTGCCTGTTTATAAAAGCAACCAAGAAAAAGGCTGAGAAAAAAACAACGAAAAAACAAACAAACAGGTGGTGGTCCTGCACCCCCACATTATACCCAGGCAGAAGAGCTGACCCTTGGGTTGAGTGTGAACCTTGTGGAGGGCATCCCTGGGTTCAGCTCTTCCTCAGACCCACAGCCAGAGGCCAGGAGCAGAACACCTTCACTGCTGGGAAATGAACTTTAATAAATGATCCTACACTGTAAAATAATTTGTTGCTGCATTAAATTAAGTAGGCCTATAATCCAAATGGCTGTCCAGTCATATCAGCTGTTAAACCTTGAGTAGCAATGAATTGCTTTGACTTGTGAAAGTCTACATGAGTGACTGTGAAACTACATATAGTTAATGTAAAAAAAATATGTTGCCTTGAGTTATTTATCACATTTCCCCCCAGTGTACTTCATTGTAATGAAATTGTGTTTTCCTCTTTTGTGCAGTATTAAACAATACACCAACACTTGTATGTGTTCCCAAGTATATGCAGTAAGTGGACTTTTTCTAATGTTACATCAAAAGGGAAGAAAGTAGCTAAACACTTTGTAATGGTCATTTTTCCCCCAATGCACAGGACAGTGAAGAAACCCTCTCAGGTATCTTAAAGTGCATAAATAACTTTACTTAATTTACACTTGAGTACCTATTATTTATAATATGAGTTGCAGGAGTCCACATCTACAGAAGAGCAGTGATGCAGAGGTGGGCAGTGTTGTACTTTTCCTTTTAATTTTTGATGCATGAGTCATGTGTTTGACAGGTGTACCCCTACCCCTAGAAAACAGAGTATTTTGAAAATACTTGACAACTTAAAGAAAAAGAAAAAACTGGCACTAGAGATAGAGTTGCTTCATAGGAACTTCAGAGTAAGTGCTAATATATTATTTCACACAGAGTACAATATATATTATTTGCAGGCCAAAGATGTCTTGATCACTGGCTTTTCTTTACAAAGAACAATTAAAATAAAAATCAAGGAACTAAGCATATTTGTCTTGTCTTTTATTAAACATTTAATGAAATGTTTTATATTTTTTCTGATGGTGCAATGTTGTGTAATATGGCCCATGTCACAGGTCCTGTCAGGTGCAACCCTCAGACTTTTCAGACACTTTAGTTGGCTAAAGTTCACTTCATTGTGTGCCCTTGTCCTGGCTAGAGCTGCATTGCAACTGGTCTGGGGTTTGGGTCAGGGAATGGGGTCATAAAACACCTGTCTCCAAGCAGGACCCTGTTGTAATCACCTGTTTAATGGAAAAATTCAGTTCTGTTAGGATAAGCATGTCGGCCTATGTAATACAGTGAGCTTGATATTTACATTTTTCCTTACCATGTTCAAATAATGTGCATAAATCTCTGAAAATTCTTGAGTCATGCACAGATCCATATTTGTGATATGGAACTAGTCACACACCATCTAAGAGATTTTAGTCAGTCAACTGCCTTTTTAAAATTTGATATAATACTAATCTTAGTATTATATCAAATTTTAAATAATACTAATCTTAGTATTATATCAAATTTTAAAAAGGCAGTTGAATCTGGATAAGAATCGCAATAGTGACTTGCCTGCTATTAAAGCCCGACTCCGACGAGTCGAACATTTATGCGTTTCCAACAAATTTATGATGTAAACGACATCCTCACGAGTCATGAGAAAAATGATATCTCTAAAAAAATACACTATCGCGCTGCGCTATGGACTTCCCGTATCAGCTCCGCTTATGAAGCCGCGATCTAATCCTGTTAACGTGAAATAAGCCTGCTCGCGAGCAGGTTCAAGCTGGCGCACCTGTTGCTATGACAGCAAGTCCAGGATGAGCGTCGAAGAACCAAACAATCCAAGATCATGCCAAATCGTCAACAATCAAATCCAGCTAACTGAGGCCATGTCCACACGGACACGGGTATTTTTATAACCGGAGTTTTTCCTACAGCGTTTTAAAAAAAAATCCCGTCCACACATGCTCGGTCTCCGTCTACATCAGTGTTTCTCAACCTCTCCTGCAGGGACCCCCTGACAGGCCATGTTTCTGTTTTAACCCTGAAATGGCACACCTGATTCAAGTCATTAAAGGCTTAATGAGTAGTTGACTAATTGATTAATTGAACTATTCCTACTCTAATTACTCATTAAGCCTTTAATTACTTGAATCAGGTGTGCCATTTCAGAGTTAAAACAAAAACATGGCCTGTCAGGGGGTCCCTGCAGGAGAGGTTGAGAAACACTGGTCTACATGAAAACGTAAAAACACGCAATCAAGCGCGGTCAAGAGCATGCCACGCCAGCAGGCGGCGATATAAACCTTAACCCTAAAGCCACGTTGGCCAATCAGAAGCGCAAATCTGATGTCAAACACAGCGGGTAACGGCGCAAACTCTGACGTCGCAAGGCAAAAACCCCGGTTTCACTGTCTACACGACAACACTGTAACCGGCGTTTCTGAAAATCCTCACCCTGGCAGGGGTTTTCAAAAATGTTCGGTTTCAGTGCGTTTTCGTGTGGACGAACGGCCGAACCGCGTAAAAAAAGTCACGGTTATAAAAATACCCGTGTCCGTGTGGACAGGGCCTGAGTTAGCGACGTACGAAGAACGAGCCCCAGATTGCCTAATCCTAACCCCATAACTAAAGATAATGCTGGGAGAAAATAATCTGACAGGGGTCACAATTAAGCACAACACCGAATATGATGCTTCTATGTAATATTTAAGTTTATAGTTAAAGGGTATGCTTTTTTATGTTACTGTTCCTTTAATGTGTAATATAGGTGTTTGTGCAATCTGCAAAGTTACAAAGCACAAAGTCCACCTCAAAGGGAGTTAAACTCAACATGAATTAAAAATTAACATTTGTATAGAATATTTCAGTATTATTGTAAATGATTTATCTGTGCACATAATTTTTAAGTCATGTGCCCACATTATATGTAATCAAAATAACGTCCTATCGACCTGCAGGTAATAAAGTAAGAAAATAGCTTACTTCCACATTATACATAAGGTGAACAAACTAAAGAATTACCACCATGAAACATCCTGAACAAGTCATGTTTACGAAGTTGTTTTGGGTCGATCAGCTTGTTCTTCTTTACTGTCATTATCAGACTCCAGCTCGAACTGATATAGCAGTTAACGTCATAACGTACTGTAACTACAGTAGTATTA